AGCACATCAGCAGTTTATAATTCCTCACATAGAGATTAAAATGAATGAAATCACCTCCTAAAAGGTAAGATCATTCTTCAAGAACAGAAAAAAACTAATGTACAGTGATAGAATTCAGAATAGTAATTACCCTTGCAGGTGGTGTATGGACAGGAAGGGGACACAGGACAGACCTGTGGGTTGTTGGACGTGCTTTATATGTTACTTTTGGTGGTGGTTTTATGGGTGTCTTCACAGGCAAAAATTCATTATGCTGTGAACTTACAACTGTGCCTTTTACTCTGTGTGTGGTATTCATTAAAAAGAGAAAGGAAGAAGAAAGAGGTAAAACCCCATGCTTTATGGCAGGAAAAAGGATTTCCAAGGTTATTTCAAGAAGAACTCAAGGACTAGTTCAGTTAGATAAAATGAGCACATAAAGGGAATTTCTATTCCTCAGGGCAGCCTAACAACACTACTGGTAATTTCTGACCAAATAGGTGCTTTATAAAAAGAAAAAAGAAAAAGAAAAAAATTAGTACATTAAAAACAAAAACAACGGAAGAAAAGAAACAAACGGACAAAAAATAATGGCTTTGTATGTTCTCTTACATTCGTATTTCTAAGCTAATCTGTTGTATGACCCCATGAATTTCCCAGTTAAGGAATCATGCCTTACCAAGACCTAGCAGCAGCTGCTGGCGTAGAATAGGAACTTAGTCTGTGTTTCTAGAGTAAAGAAGTAAATAAATGAACAGCTGAACAATTTTAATGAAAAAATCCACAGCCTATTACATCTTTCTATTCTCACGTATTTTTACCCTTTAATAAGAAATATTGATTCTTCTCAGACTTCAGAAGTTATGCAAGAGCAGAGACTGTGGGAAGGAGGAAGTGAATATTTTGTGGCCTCCACGTGTAGGTTGCATAATGTTCAAGTAATGTTTTTTGCGTAGTCTTAATGTCTAAATTTAACAGGTTTAATTAAGTCATGTCATAATCCTCTTCAGTAGAGGATTAGGATATCATCCTGATATTTTCACTGTATTAACTTCATAATCATATTCAAAGTATGGGTTAGGTCCTGTGCATTTTCCTTGTTGAAAGTCTATGTTTATTTCAGATTTCATGACATATGGTGAAAGATGGGGTGGAGGGGGACTGCCAGGAGCATTTAGGTCTAGAGGAAAGATTACGGAGGTGTTGTTCTATCCCGTCTCCACTTTTAACCAGGTGGGCAAAACAGAAAAATAACTCGAAGAGTGTGGACCTCCATTTTGTCTGTATAAG